GGTGGGGGTGGCAGAGCGTGCATGCCCACGTGAAATGGTTCCAAGACCTTTGGAATCCAAGTTCAAGCCAGAGAAGTGGGGACAGGAGCCCCTGGCCTGACGACTGGGAGCTTCACCATGTGGAGGGTCGCGTTGAGACCTCCTGCCACCTCATGTGGGTCTGAAATAGCCCAAGCACTCAGGCCAAGAATGTGTCCCCTAAAGCGGGAAGTGGCCGGGTGACAGGAGTAGAGGGGCAGGGGCAGAGTGGGCCTGTGCCTGCCTGTGCTAATTGGAGGTGGCAGCTGAGGATTAACTGGAGGGTGATAATGACAGCATGGGCCTGCGTGGCAGGGGAGGACAGACGCCCAGAGGGCCCAGCCAGGGGCCACACTGATTAAGTCATGCCCAGTGCTAACGGGAATGCTTAACACCACCTCAGCAGCGGGGGTGGCCTGTCGCTGACTTGTCCCCTGACCAAGCCAAAGGGTCCCTTGGACACACCCTCCCTCATGGGTGGGCCCACGGTACCCTGAGCCGCCAGGCACCTGCTGGAGCTCAGGTGGCCCCTGGGCTCTCTGCTGTTAACTGCCCTGGTCCACCAAGGAGCACAGGGTGGCCCACATGGGCCTGGGCTGAGTGTTGGTGCGACCATGCTCCCTGCGGACAGTGCAGTGTGTGAGAGTGAGGGACTGAGCCTGGCCGTGGGTGTGAGGTGTCACCCGCCCTGGGAGGACAGGCTGGGGCACTGTGGTGACAGCCAAGGAGCGAGGCTGCACCACCTCCAGGCCCACTGGAGTGGCCGCCTCAGGGACAGCACGTGCAGGCGAGGACACCGCTGCTCACAGGGTGGAGAAGGGTCTGGCAATGCCACGGCACCGGGAGGAGGCCACAGCACCCTCTGGAAACGCACGGGCGCCCCGGGGCGCGGCACACCAGCCCATGTCTGCTCAGGACGACCGCCTGGCACATTTAGAGTGGCATAATTCATGGCGTGTCAACTGCATCTTAGCAAGGCTGTCCAGAATAAGACCAAGGGCAAGCCTGAGGACAGCGGCAGCGCGGCAGCCCACCCTGCTGCCGGGCTCCGCGGGTCCCCTCCCTCAGCAAACTTCTGGGCTCCACCAGGAGCACGGCAGGCCGCCCCCGTGCTCTCTGTCAGGTCACACACACGAGTCTCGGGGGGCCAGAGGGCGATTCCTATCCCTGGTCACAGGGGCAGAGCTGGGTCACTGCTGTGGTCCCCTGGCAAGAGCCAGGAAGAAAGGGGCCCCAGCCGGATTCAGACCCACTCTGACCCACAGCGTCCCTGACGTGTGTGTGACGGGTGGTCCCAAAGATGGTAAGCAGGACTAGCTATAAACTCGTGGGTGACATACGAGATGCAAATCTGGGCCTCTGATACCAAAAACCCTGGTGAAAGTTTCGCTTCCTCCTTCCCTGCCCCTCCCTGCCCCTCCCCACCCCACCCTCCAAACCATTAGGGAAACTGGGCTTCCTGGGACAGCTCGGAGCTGTCCCCACACAGGATCCATCGTCTCACCAGACTCTTCACATACAAAAGGCAAAATCAACAACCACGAGACAGGGCTGGGGCACAGCTCAGCCGGTGGAGAGCCGGCCTCCCGCGCACAAGGCCTGATTCCCTCCAGCCCCACCCATCCCAGGGCTGCAGGGAGGGGGTTTGCCCAAGATGCAGGAGGCAGCTGGGACTGGCACACAGAAACCCAGGTGACCCCAGAGGCCTTCCTGAGTGGACAGGGTTCCAACAGGAAGGCCTACGGAGGGCGGCTGGCTAGGGTAGGGCCTGGGCATCCTCTCCTGACCAGCCCCCAGTGAGGTGGGCGCTCAGTCCCTGGGCCACACGGTGGGTGCCACCCTGTGGGGTGCGATCTCAGCTGGCTCCCTGCCAGCCGTCAGGCCGTGGGGGAATGGCCGGTTTGGGTCCTCCTGGTGTCCTCCTGTGGAGGACCTCCGCTGCAGCTCCACTCTGGGTGTCACAGGACAGGGACCCTCTGCACCGGTGGGCTTGCAGGGCTTCTGCAGCCACTGCCAGGCCTGCTGGAGGCCAGCCGGCAGAGGACTAAGCTCAGCTGTCCTGTGGGAGTGTCCCGAGTCAGGGCCAGCAGTGGGTGGAGGCTGGCCACCCATGCTGGCTCCGAGCCCCAGGCCAGATGTCTGGGCTTAGCTGCCCAGCCACGCAGGGATAGGATGACGAGTCATTAAGCACCCGCTTTCTCGGGGCTGGCAGAGGTGGCGGGTGGAGGGGCCTTGGGCCAGGCTCACAGAAGGGCCAGGAGGTGAACCCCAAGCTGGCCTCTCTGCTACTTTGGGGGGATGACCCAGAGCCAGGGTCCCACCTGCTCCCACCTGGAGATGGAAAAGGCGACTTTCCTTTGCCAGTTGGGGTCCTGCTCTGCGATGCCCTGAATGCCCAGGGCAGGAGGGGGAAGGCAGCGGGAGCCCTCCCTGTGTCCTCCCCAGGGCACTGGTCAGCAGTTATTTAAGTCTTGGGCTGCATGAGATCTGGGGACCAGAGATTCCCTGAATGCTCCTCTGCCTGTTGGCGGGAGCAAACAGTCCATCTCTCAGGACCCCCAGGCATTACCCCACCCCCAGCAAGTAACTGGACCCTGCTGGCCTTTACAGGACTGTGGGGGCGCCAGCCTTGTCACCTTCTGTGACCTCCAAGTCAGGCTCTGGTCTGGGGAGAGGAGGAAGAGGGAATGGTTTCCTGCTGAAGGGTGCAGGGGCCACAGTGGGAGTGTGGGGGGCAGATCTTCCAAGTTGTCCCTCAACTTACAGGGCAGCAAGCTGAGACACAGAGATGGGAGAGGTCACTCAGGGGCAGTCATGAAAGTCCTGATCTGGCACCACAGGACAAGTCAAAGCAGGGGATCTTCACCACATTATTCTGGGGTTGAGCCCTGGCTCTGCTCTGTGGCCCAAAACAAGAGGCCTGCCCTCTCTGATCCTCAGAGCCCTTTCTGAAATGGGGATCAACAATCTTCCCTTGCAGGATTATCGTGACAACTGTCTCATATTGAGTCCACATGGTGTCAAGCAGGGAAGCACCAAGAGGCGTGGCTGGGACTCTAGTTAGGTGTGCGTGTACTCACGCCAAGTGCTATCCTCACACATACCATCACACCCTCCCCACGGCAGGGGAGGCGGGCACTATTTCTATCCCCTTTTACAGAAAAGAAAACTGAGGCGCAGAGAAGGAGAGGAAACTAGAGTTCCACAGGTGTGGAGTGGTGAGGCCGGGACTGGACCCAGCTCAGCCCGACAGGGGCACACTGCACTGTCGCAAGAGCCAGGCCCAGGGAGCAAGCCTGGCTGCTGATCATGGCTCTGTCCATGTGTGCCACCAGCCCTCTCTGTGCCCAGCACTCAGATCTGTACCTGAGCCCGAGGGCCAGGCTCTCCCCAAGCCCTCGGGGAACCACTTACAGCTCACTCCACGCCCACCCAGGGGCACCTGCAGTCACCACACCTTGCAGCTGAGCGCAAGAGGCCCTGCCTGGGCTCCACCTCCTCACTGCTGAGTGGCCGCACAGTGTCCTCCTGGGCAGCACTCACCACGGTGAAATGGCATCACGTGGGCTGGGCCCTAAGCGCGGCCTCACGCAGGTGCCCACAGGCTCCAGTCCCTGGTGATGATGCACACCCATCAAGGTGGCACTGGGTGTGCACTCGGCACCAGGCTCTATCTCCAGCTGGGCACACCCGAGAGCAAGTCAGCACTTCCTGTCCACGCGGAGCCTCCCCACCCCTCTCACCAGCACGACCATCGTCGCCAGGTTTTATACATACAAACCATACTTCACAGGTGTACCTAGGTGTCCTAGCCACTGCACCCCTCCTCACCACTATGTCACCACCGTCACCATCCGCCCCCACCATCCTCACTACAAACTCACCACCCCGTCACCATCCTCACCTCCTCCCCACCATCCTCACCACTGCACCACCATCCTCTCCACCACCCTCCCCCACCATCCTCACTACAATCTCACCACCGCCGTCACCATCCTCACCATCCTCACCATCAGCCCATCCCCATCCTCCCCACCATCCTCCCCACCATCCTCACCATCCTCCCCACCATCCTCACCATCCTCCTCACCATCCTCACCCCCATCCTCACCACTGCGTCACCATCCTCCCCACCATCCTCACTATCCTCCTCACCATCCTCACCCCCATCCTCACCACTGCGTCACCATCCTCCCCACCATTCTCACCATCCTCCCCACCATCCTCACCATCCTCCGCACCATCCTCACTATCCTCCTCACCATCCTCCTCACCATCCTCACCATCC